TTTGGTGGGAATGAAGAAAAATCGCATGTACAAACTTGAGCTGAAAACAGTTCAAGATAAATGTATGCAATTTGATATGGAGGATGAGGCCATGAAGTGGCATTTGCGGTTTGGTCATCTTCACTTTGGTGGGTTGATTGCGCTGGTGAAAAAGGAGATGGTGCTCGGATTGCCTAAAATGGAATTCGAAAAAGGGTTATGTGAAGAATGTGTGATTGGGAAGCAAGTGAGGACTTCTTTCCCAAGAAGTTCTGAGTGTCGAGCAAAGCAACAACTCAGAGTGATCCATACTGATTTGTGTGGGCCAATAACTCCAGAATCTTTCAGTGGTAAGATATACTTCGTCTCTTTCATTTTCAAGGAAAACATGGGTTTATTTTCTGAAGGAGAAGTCAGAAGTGTTTGAAACATTCAAGAAATTCAAAGTTATGGTGGAGAAAGAAACAAACAAAGTCATCAAAGCAATCCGATCTGATAGAGGAGGCGAGTTCACTTCTACTAAGTTCAACAAATACTATGAGGAACATGGGATCAAATGTTTCCTGACTGCCTCATATTCTCCGCAGCAAAACGGTGTAGCAGAACGAAAGAACCGAACCATTCTTGATATGGTTCGATCTATGTTGAAAGGGAAGAATATGCCAAAGAAGTTTTGGGCAGAGGCGGTGCAGTGTGTAGTCTATTTGCAAAATAGATGTCCACATGCAAGGCTAGGAAAGAATACGCCTTAGGAGATATGGAGTGGTATGAAGTCGAGTGTCTCTCATATGAAGGTGTTTGGTAGTGTGGCCTATGGGCAAGTACCAAGTCAGCACACGACTAAATTAGAAGATCGGAGTAAGAAGTACATATTTATCGGGTATGATGGAAAATCTAAAGCGTATAAATTGTTTGATCCTGTTAATAATAAAGTGGTGGTAAGTCGATATGTTCATGTAGAAGAAACAAAACATTGGTGTTGGAGTAACCCGACAAAAGAAGAAACTAGTTCGAAAAATGTTGTGCCTTCAACAATAACAACCATTGAGTCCTCAAATAAAGAAATAGAGCCACAACAACCCAAGATGAGAAGTCTGCAGGAAATATACGACACTACAAATGAATTTCATGTTGTATGTCTTTTGGCTGACTCTAAAGACTTGAGTTTTGAGAAAGATGTCCAAGATGAGAAGTGGAGAACAACCATGGATGAGGAGATTGGAGTTATTGAACGCAACAAAACTTGGGAACTGACTGACCTTCCTAAAGGAGCTCAACCCATTGGAGTAAAATGGGTGTACAAAAATAAGATGAATGTTGAGGGAGAGGTTGAACGTTACAAGGCTTGACTTGTGGTGAAGGACTATAGACAAAAGGACAGAATTGACTATGATGAAGTATTTGCTCCTGTCACGAGAATGGAGTCAATCCAACTTCTGATCTCATTAGCTACTTAGAATCAATGGCCGATTCTATAGATAGATGTGAAGTCGGCATTTCTAAATGGAGTGTTGAAGGAAGAGGTGTATGTTGAGCAACCACTCAGGTACATGAAGAGAGGGGATGAGAAAAGGTACTGAGATTAAGAAAAGATCTCTATGGGCTGAAGCAGGCTCCTCGTGCTTGGAATGAGAGAATTGATGGGTATTTCAAGAAAAATGGGTATGAACAATGTCCATATGAGCATGCTTTGTACACAAAGAAATCAGAAAAAGATATGATGGTAGTCACTCTTTATATCGGCGATCTCATATTCATTGGAAGCAACACGAAGCTAATTAAGGAGTTCAAGGAGGTAATGAAGAAAGAGTTCGAAATGACAGGCTTAGGGCTGATGAAATATTTTCTTGGCCTAGAAGTGAAGCAGTCAGAGGAAGGAATTTTTATATCCCAAGAGAGGTACGCACTTGAAATTTTAAAGAAATTTAAAATGGATGACTGTAACCCGGTGTTAAGTGGTAAAAAGTTGATATAATTATGCCTTAAATTGTTATGAAACCATTTAACTTATGTTAATTCTAATTTATTTTTCTCCCAATATAGGATGAATTAAAGAATACCTTGATACAAGACTAAGGAGCATAATTAGAGAAAAATTGGAAGAAAGAAGAACGCTTAAGCAAATGAATGATGCAAGGCCCGACCCAAATTCTCTTATAAAAAGATAAGATGTGTTTTGAGAAAGGGAAGTAGTCTTGGAGAAGATGAGGCATAACTACTGTTAGGGTATCATCTAATCTTCATCAATTCTTCACTTCTTCATCAATTAGAGCATTGTAATGGCCAACATGAGTGTCTAACTTCATTCTCTTAGGATTCGGTGCACTTCCTTTGAACTCTTTTGTATCATGGTGATATTTTGAGATATTAATCTATGCTTTGATGTTGTTATTCCTATCCTTTATGCTTTGGAATGATTTATTCTTGATGTTTGGGGTATGATTGGAAAATATATCTTGAACCTAGATCACGGTAAGAATATTTGTTACGTTAATTGCCAGGAATAGAATGAATGTATCAATTGCTTAACACCCTAACCCTAATGCTGGAAAATCTCTTAATTGTGTGAGGAATCAACATTTATTAGGTTTTCTTATGAATTTCATGTGTGAGGAATCAACATGGATGGTTTGAGTAGGTGGCATCAACATTGTTAGGTTAATTGACGTTCTTAATTGATTTAGCCATTACAAAAGAGGGATAAGGAAGGAAGCAAATCCTAAGTACCTTTAATTGATATTTTCTCAACAATTTAAAGTTCTTTGTCATTTAATTTCAATTCAACTCTTATTTTCAAAACCCAATCTGTTTAATCTACTTAGTAAGCATAATTGGGAATTTCCATTGAAATTGTTCCTCTTGGGATCGACTTTTATTTAATTGAAATACTATATTGCGATTGATAATTTTGGTACGCTTGCCAATAATTCAACACCCCGTTTCTACTCAAATGGAACCAGGCACTAAACTCTCAAAGTTTGATGGAGGAGAACGAGCTGATTCTGGGAGATATCGAAGCTTAATCGGAAGTTTGAGATACCTTACAAGCATAAGACCCGACCTAATGTTGAGTGTTGGGATAACGAGTAGATACATGGAGAATCCAAGTTACACACATTGGAAGGCCTTAAAGAGAATAATGAGATATGTTCGAGGAACATTATCACTTGGTCTATTCTATTCAAAATCGGATGACTACCGACTAGTGGGTTACTCGGATAGTGATTGGTGTGGTGATGTTGATGACCCGAAAAGTACTTCACGTTATGTATTCCTACTCGGAAAAACAACTTTTACTTGGTTGTCAAAGAAGCAACCCATTGTAACTCTGTCAACCTATGAGGTTGATTATGTGGCAGCCTCTTAGAGTGTGTTTCATGCAGTTTGGCTTTCAAAATTACTAAGGCATCTGGGAGTGATCCAAGACGAAAGGACTGTAATTCGAGTTGACAACAAGTCAGCGATCGAGTTGACAAAGAACCCGGTTAATCATGAAAGGAGCAAGCACATCGACGTTTGATTTCATTTCATCCGAGAACAAGTCAGAGAAGGAAAGGTTGAGCTAGAGCATGTTGAAAGCCGAGCTCAAGCTGCTTACATATTCACCAAACCACTGCCAACTACACTACTGGAGAGTTGTAAAAGGCTTATTGGAATAAGAGATGGGAAGAGTATTTAAGTTTAAGGGGGAGATTTATTGTAAAACTTAAATTAAACGTTTAGTATTCCTAGAATAATATTAATGGTTTTAATTACGAGTGGTATAACCAATGGGTTGTAAACCTATTTAATAAGTATTATGATTTACGTTTGACATTTGAAGAGGAAAATATTTTGGCCATAAATATTATGCACGTACCCCTATTTAATGTGAAGGAAGGTCTTACTAAAACATACTAAGACGAGACCTAGTCTTTGTCATGGATAAAAATACTATGGTTAAAGCTTTTTAAAAAGGAAATAAACTTCTAATGTAACTAGACATATCCTAATTTGAAAGTCCAAGCCACACTTGTGAGCTTACTGGGACACTTCCACAAGTCTAGACGTTTACTAGTACACAATTTATTAGAAATAGAGGTTGATTTCAAAAGGGGTGTGAATTGAACTTTAAAAGATTTTCGTAAAACCTTTAACCAAAAATGAAAAATTTATTACTAATTTGATTAAAGATTTGAAAGTCAAATATTCATTATTAAGCATAAATAACATATAAAGATAGTTGCAACAATATAAAGTTCTTAGTCACATCAGTTAAGATTTTCACTAAAACCAACAAAGATTTTATAACAATAGATCAACCTATTTACACAAGAAGAATTTCCTTGATCCCTACAAGAAAAGCACTTTACAAGACTAGTGACACTCTACCACTAAGCAAGATAAAAAAAATCCTATCTAGAAATTACAGTACAAACATGATTAACTATAGAAATGAAAACACTATCACCTGGAAAACCAACTAGTACAAGAGAAAACAAAATATCCAAGTGAAAAACAGAGTCCTTCTTAGACTCAAGTATTTAATCTTTATATTTGAACAAGAAAACCTTAAGAAATTTTCTTCAACGCAACTACTATAGTCTTGAAGTAGGGTAAAAGATTTGAGAGAGATTGATTCAAAATTGTATTTCAAAAGGTTAAAAAAATGAGAAAGTTATATAAAGTTGTACTAATAATTTCACATAAATTAAATCATCGTTTTAACATATTAAAATAGAACAATCAAAATGCTCTTTAAAAACAAAAGGAGGATTTAACATATTAAACATATTTTAATAGATTAAAATAAAGAATTCTAAAAAACTTTTCAAAAGCATAGAAAATTAATAAATTAAAAGTCATTTAATTGATTAAAACAACAAGAACTAAAAATCACTATTAAATCCCAAAATATTTTAATCTATTCAAAAATCTTTTAATATATTAAAACTAACGACATATGAAAAACCTTCAAAAATAATTAGGAATAGTTTAATTAATTAAAAAATTATTTTAACATATTAAAACTAAACCTCAAGGACCACTTAAAAAAACACACATGCATACACTTACTTACACACGCACGCGAACGCATGTACAGACACGCACACAATGTAAAAGCACGAGAAAATCATTGCAAAAGTGCTAGATATCCAGTTGGCCCTTTGAGAATTGGAGGTCAAACAACAACATCATTTGTTCAAAAGGTGACAAGTGTGTTCGCCACACACTTTGGGTACGTAATGTCAATGTTTATTCCCTTAACTTAAGATCATATCATAAAATTTTCAAAGGTAAGTTTTGTGTAGAACACCTTGACTAAGCATGGATAGACTTTGTCCATCATCTCTAAAAAGATCTACAATGTTTGGTGTTGTAATAGTTTCCTCAACGTGCAGAACTTCACTTCATCAAGCCAAGAGATCTTGAGGACCTTAGGCACATTTAATTGTTAATGGCTCATCAATTTAAAGAAGAAATTCATTTTCTCCTAATTGTCACTGAACCAAAGAATTTGCAATAAAAGTAATATAGTGTTAGGGTTGACTTAGGCCCTGCCCTTAAGGAGAATTGATTTGTTTTATTCAAACTTTGATTTTCTCTTGTCAAATGCTAGGAAATAGGGGGATTTGAATGTATAAAATGAAAGCAAGAAACCTTAAGTATATAAAAAGCAATAAACTAATCTATAAAAAGTAATAATGAAAACATTTAAAGAAAGCGATAAATTTATCTATGAAAGCATGTAAAGAAAGCGATAAAGTTCTAAAAATGTAAAGGAAAACAGTAAAGAAAAAACTTAAATGAAAGCTTGTAAGTCTAACTTATGAAAACTTTTAAAGGAAAGGCAATAAACCTAATTCTAAGAAAATGTTTAAAGGAAAGCAATCTAATTTATAAAGTGCAGTAAAAACAAAGTGTTTTATAAACCAAAAAAACAACAAAGTAAAAGCAAAAAAATAGTGAAGGAGAAGAGAAAGACAAAAATTAAATGGAAAATATTGAGAAGAGGAAATAAACATTATCTAAAATAACTTGAATTGATTAGCTTTAAGGCAAAACTCAGACAATAATTTCAAGAATAAAAAAAGATGAATGATTCTAAAAACATGAACAAAAAATGAGAGAAAATATAAAATTTACCCTAAAATAATCTCAAGGATAAGTTATGAGGTTTGATTTATATAATAACAATCATGTGAAAGATGTTCAAGCTCATCCAAGGCCCATAATTAATCAATTACATAACATAGAAGTTGAATTACGTTCCTGCATAATTGAGGTTGTAAGACAAATTCATTGAGTAGATTAGAATTTGTTGAACAAATTGGACAGATTCATTGAACGAATATAACAAATTAATAGTTGACAAAAGAAGACATTTTTTCTCAATAGAGGGTTCCTTCACTAAACGGATTGGCAACGTCACAAATAATGGAATTGGATGAAATTTGTTAAATGAAATTGCTAGGCGCTAAGTAGATGTTGAATTATTGGCAAGCATACCAAAATTATCAATCGCAGTATAGTATTTCGATTAAATAAAAGTCGATCCCGCGAGGAACAGTTTCAATGGAAATTCCTAATTATATGCTTATTAAGTGGATTAAAACAAATTGGGTTTTGCATAAATAGTTGAATTGAAATTAAATGACAAAGAACTATAAATTTTTTAGAAAGATCAATTAAAGACACTTCGGATTGACTTCCTTCCTTATCCCTCTTTTGTAATGACTATGTCAATTAAGAACATCAATTAACCTAACAATGTTGATGTCACCTACTCAAATCATCCATGTTGATTCCTCACACATGAAATTCATAAGAAAACCTAATAAATGTTGATTCCTCACACAATTAAGAGATTTTCTAGCATTAGGTTTAGGGTGTTAAGTAATTGATACATTCATTCCATTCCTGGTAATTAACGTAACAAATATTCTTACCGTGATCTAGGGTTCAAGATATATTTTCCAATCATACCCCAAACATCAAGAATAAATAATTCCAAAGCACAAAGGATAAGAATAACAACATCAAAACATAGATTAATATCTCAAAATATCACCATGATACAAAAGAGTTCAAAGGAAGTGCACCTAATCCCAAGAGAATGAAGTTAGTCACTCATGTTGGCCATTACAATGCTCCAAATGAGGAAGAAGTGAAGAATTGATGAAGATTGGACGAAACCCTAGCAGTATTCGCGCCTCTTCTTCCCCAAAACCGCTTTCTTTTCTCAAAATACATCTTCTCTTTTTATAGGAAAAGTTGGGCTTTTGGGCTTCGCGTCTTTTTCTCAAGCGACAACTTTCACTCAAGCGAAAGTTGCCTATTTTTGCTCAAGCGACAAAACACTCACTTGAGCGAGTGAACTTCAGAGAAGAATAACTAAAATTCGCTCAAGTGAATTTTCTTGCACTTGAGCAACTGACTTCCAGAGAAGAATAACTGATATTTGCTCAAGCGAGAGTCCATCCCGCTCGAGCGACTTTCATGCTGAAAATCTTCTTCCTTTTTCCAGTTTTACTCCAATAATGCTGACAATTATGTTCATTACTCTTGTATCAAGGTATTCTCGAATTTATCCTATATTGGGAGAAAAATAGATTAGAATTAACATAAGTTAAGTGCTTTCATAACAATTCAAGGCATAATTATATCAACTTTTTAGCACTTAATAACTCCCCCAACCTAGAATCTTGTTTGTCCCAAGCAAAGTAATTTTTCCAAAACAAAACCATCGCCTATTATCACTTTCTCTTCCAGAACCACAACATAAAAAAATTTCCAGATGTGATACTCACAACTCCAAATGAAAAATAGAATACATTAGCATTCAAGTTACAAAAACTAAAAAAGAATAATTAGTCCTCAACTATCCTCAGAGAAGCATGATCTCTCAAATAGAGTTATATATAATCATCTCTAATTCTCAAGGTAAGTGTTTATCTCATTCAATCACTTCATTTACACAATCCAATATTGATAATCATCTTCAAGCAATCAACATTTGTTAAGCAAGACTTAAATCAAAAGGTCTTTTGAGGCTTCTAATGGGGCTGGGCTAAGAAAGAGTCATTGGTTTTACTGGGATATACAAAAGTATTTGAGAAATTCAACTCATATGAATGATTCCTATTTAATATTTCCTCAAGTCGGGTTTCAGACTTCATGTTTTTGCTCCTAATACAATGATAGTGAGTTAATAATCTCACAAGTTATTATTCCCCCCTTTGAACTCTTTTTTTTTTCTCCTGCTTTGCATTTATCCTTTCTGGCTTTTCCACAACATTTATGCTTTGCTTTTCCTTTTTCTTTACACTTTTTTTTATAACACCCTAATAATACTTGTAGGATAACAATAGCAATACCCAACAATAGGAAAAATAATAACATTCATACTCATTTCCTTTCTCAAATATAGGAAGGTAGGTAAATAGTGTTTAGGCTTAGGGGTTTTGTTTACGAAATAATATTATTTTTGGCTCAGAAAGGGTTCAAATGGATGTCCTATAATTAATGCAGGGTTGGCTATTTGGCTCTAGGTTATATCTACTACAAAGAAAAATGTCTTTATCATTTTCAAGTCTCACTAACACGCAATCACATCAAAGAATTAATCAATACCAATTATCATCACAAAGTGTTGACACTCAATTTATCTGTTTTTGGTTCTCTACTCACTTAGGTTTTGCCTAGCTTCTCCAATTCAGTTAACTCGTAACTCTCCTCATCAAATCCTTTTCACTATCATACTCATCATCCCAAAATCACTTGTTATTGGAAATAATCAAAATGATTTTTCACGTTCTAGATTTGAATTAGACAATAAGCAATAATCTCATATATGGCTCTAACACAAATTATGGGACATCAAGGGAATTCAAATTTTAAAATAAAGCAATTAAAACATTAAATTAAAAACAAAGGAATTAAAAACATTAAAAACAAAATTAGTTTCCTCCCTCATTTTCTTCATTTGTCATCTCCACCTTATCTTGTGCCTCAGCCTCAGCTGCAAACTTCCTCACCCCCTCTGGAAAAGTTGTACTGTCCCCAGGCCATTGAAGTAAGGCTTCAAAGTCTTGAGGAGAAGTTCAATGTGTACCTGGAGCAATCTTGCAAAGAAAGAACCTAAAGAAGAAAAATGCACAAAAAACTTAAACTGCAAAAAGAAAAAAAAAACAAATTCAAAACATTGGGTTGCCTCCTAAGAGCGCTTGTTTAACGTCTTCAGCTTGACACATATTTGCTTTAGGGCTCATGCAGGTGAGTGATCAAGGTGATCTATACGCATTCTCCATCCCTTGACTGTCCTTGTGGGAATGAATTTATTCTTTTCATTGCGAATAACCTTACAACTGTCAAAGATTGGATAAATCATACCTACTTCAGGAGGTTTCAGTACCTCTATTTGAACAACTTCCTTCATAGTCAGATTGAGATGTCTTTGGGGTTGTGCAACATGCTTGTAATCTTGTTTTTCAGTTGAGACGGGTAATTCCTCCAAAGTATCTATTCTGAGGCAATCTTTTTTGTCTTCCGGTTGTTGTACAACTTCAAATAAATTAAAATTAACTTCATCATCTCCACTTCTAATTTTCAACTTGTCCATGTCAACATCTATAATTACTTTGACAGTCTTCATAAATGACCTTCCCAAGATCAATGGGACTTCCTCATTTTCCTCCATGTCCATAATCACAAAATCAACAAGAAATATGAATTTATCCACTCTAACTAAAACATCTTTTGCTACTCCGTAAGGAATCTTTATTGATCTGTCAGCTAGTTGCAGAGTCATTCTAGTTGGTCTAACATCCAAGTCTCCTATTCTTTTCAGTATAGATAATGGCATGAGGTTTATGTTGGCCCCTAAATCAAGTAATTCTTTTTGCACTGGTAATGTACCAATTGTGACTGGTATAGTGAAACTTTCAGTGTCCTTGGACTTTTGAGACAATGATTTCTGGAATATAGCACTACACTCTACCTCTAACTCCATTGTTTCATCAGTAAATCTTCTTTTCTTATTTAAGAGCTCTTTCATGAATTTGGCGTATGTTGGCATTTGCTCCATAGCTTCCACAAAGGATATATTAATCTGCAGTCTTTTAAAAATATCCATAAATATGGTGAATTGTCTTTCTTTATCTATTTGTGAGGGAACCTTGGGATATGGTAACTTCTCTACAAATGGTTTTTGACTCCCTCTTTTTCTATCTTTTGTTTTTTC